AAGACAGGGCATTAAAAGAGCATTAAATTCATGTTTAGGACAAGTTCTATGCCTAATGAGTTATGGGTGAAAATAGTTGCATTCAGCAGCTTTCACAAGATGTGTGTTCATAATTGCAGCTGTTTTGTTACAAAATAAATTGTAGCCCCTATTCTTCAACATCCCATACCACATTGTTACATCTTCCCCTATTCAAGGGGAAAAAAAAATCTTCTGGGCTTATGAGAGACCAGATTATGTCAAATATGTTTAACTGACTGATTCTGACCTTTGGTCCTTGTTGTAGTTTGAATTCCTAGTCATAAATTAACTGCTTGAACCTGTTATGAATCAAGACCATGAATTAAGCTCAGTGCATTTTCAAACAGGACTCGGTGCTGATATGGGTAAACCCTAGTGCAGATACTTTTTTCATACTTGTACTGGAGCTCTATCAGAAATACGCCTCCACACTTATCTAGTACTATCATCATTAGATCCCAACATTACAGATATTTGCAGTAAAACTGAGCCGATTAGTCCACTGTGAACCTCAGATCAGAGCTTCCTCTGAGTGACAGGATAGTAAAGAAAAATTGGCTTTATTAAGTTCATATACATCACAGTGAACCTCTGGGTAAGACTTGTTTGTATAGGTCAGACAGACTCTGGTACAGTATCCTGTTGATGGATGAGGACAGTAACTTTGCTATACGACTGAGGCTGAGAGATGAAGTTTGCAGAACACTGATTATTTACAGTTACAAGATGAACACTGAAGTTCAATTAACTTGAGAAAGAGAGGAGGCTCTTTGCGCCCTCCCATATAATATTATCAGTGGTGTAATTTACGATCTGCGATTTCCAAGAAGACGTAGCTCACCACTCAAGTTACTGGGGCACGTATATTTATGAAATGGTGTGTTTTTAGATTAATGAACCAGCAACCAGGGGATCTTTTGACTTTAAATTAAATTCTTTGGAGATCCATTTTTCAGATGGAGCTTAGCCCAATTGAGACAGATAATTACAGGTCCTCGCGATCACAACACAGAAATGAATCAGGCCCCGACTGCTGCAAACAGGGAGCACAGTCATTAATAGTAGAATAAAAATGCAGGAGTGGGTATTATGATTATAATGCAAAAGCTTCCATCACACCTCCATCTGAGCTCCTCCTTGAGTAACCGAGAGTCCGACTGACTCTGCAAAATGGATAAGCCCACTTTATCAAAAGGGTAAAGTACAAGATGTTATGTGCATTAATTAAAAAGCCCATTAAAATACCAACACTCTGCTGGGGTTTACAGCTGGTGGACTGGTGAGGCATGTCAAGTACATTTACTCTCTACAGTATTTCATTATCTATATATAGTGTAGTTAAGTTTGCTAGCTGGAAACAGAACAAAAAAACTTCCTTGCAGTACATAAGTGAAGTGTAACCCAGTAGCGAGATGGCAAATGTTGTATTGTTCTCTTCAACATAAAAGTGTATTATAGTGCTGTGAAAGCTACAGCTGACTGTAAATTAAGAACTTGTAACATTTGCAACTTCAGTGGTTCATTCTTAATCAGATGTATATCTTCTGCCATGCCAACAATAATAATGAACCAATTTCTTTTCAATCTCAATTAAAATACCTCATCTCTGCCCCTACATGGATGTTTTTTTTTTCCTTTTTGTAGTGAACCACCAGCTATTTTATAAATCTACTAATTTGGCCACTTAGGATTCAAGCAATTTTTAAATTTAACATGCTTTTCAAGGGCTGTTCCAGAGGGCTGGCTGTGACAAAGTTTAATCACTCGCTGATTAAAAGCTGTGGAGCATGAATCAGAAAGTCTTGGTGGCCTCAAGAATGATAATTATCGATTTGTAGAGATTGGCCTACATAAAAAGCCAAGCAGTCTACATGGATCTGATGCAGTCTTCCACACTCTCCCTAGGTTGTTGCTGAGTGGTCAGTGTAGGAGTAAATTTACAAAATCTTATTAGATTTAAATCTTGTATAGAACCTTATTAGATCCTATATGAGATAAGCATATAACAGAAATTAGATGTCTGTCTTACAATGACAATATGCAATAAAACTCCTTTTGTTTTCATTTCAACTCATTGTTTAACGGATTGACCTACACCTTACAGTGCGTTAGCTTTATTTCTGACTGCAAAGCATTGTGGCAAGAAGTTGTACATTTCTTTTGAAAATCATTTAAAGCGTTTTTTTCCAACATGTTTTTATTAACTATGAGTGGTGTACAGTCAGAATGAAGCTTGGGTGGTGAATGTCTTTAGACAGCAGGGTCAGTTAATAAATGGAACCTGCTCTGCTTTTGCAGGTACAGTTCTGGTGGATAACATGCAGATAAAGGGCCGAGCTCAAGACCCTTTCAGAACCATCTCGCTGACATTACTGTACAACTATGACTACTGGGTGATACTGGAACCAGTGCGACAGAGGCTCTACCTCAATAGTACTGGACGCGTTCTGGACAGGGATGTAAGTGAAGGATCTGTAATGAGAAACATGTAATCACATTTAATGTTTCAAGGTAAATACATTTTCCAGCATTTATAAATATGTAGCATGTTTTGTATGTATTGAGCAACTGAACCAAGTGTTCTTTAATCTCTGGTTTCATTGTTATTATCAAATAAACACTAACTGTTTATATGTTAATCATGGCTGAGTCATTTATTTTGGATCACGTGTTGGACAAAACGGGAACTGGAACATGATCCAACAACTTCAAGTTAAATACTTAAATGAGCTGTCTTTTCTCTGTCACAGCCCCCCAACTCCATCACCACCATTGTGGTTCAGGTCGAGTGCACCAATGAGCTTGTTGGTACTGTCATTTTGCATGAGGTGCGGATTATTGTGAGGGATAGGAATGACAACGCCCCTCGCTTCCAGCAGCCCCGCTACTATGTTGCAGTAAATGAGGTAAATGAGCAGCTTCTGTTTGTGCTGCAGGATTTAAAGTTTAAGAAATGATGTGCCGGACTTTAACATTATAGCATATTCAAAATGATTTGCATGTTCAAGTTTTAAATTTACTGAAAGAAAATAAAATGCTACCAGTGGGGTCACCAAAGTAGGATATATATACTGTATATTATTATTATTAATTTAAATCCCACACATACCTGTTTTGCATCTGAGCCCTCTGGTGCAAACTGTCAAAGTAGTCCTGAGGTGTCAAATTTCAGTATGTGTATGTGTGTGTGTGTGTGTGTGAGTACCAGACAGGACAACCTTTTTCCTCCAAAACAAAACTGCATCACCTGCAGTGGTTCAAGGAAATCCATCAAATTGTCTGACTTTTTTACAATATGTTTTGAGATTAGAAAATAATTCCCTGCTGAGCTCTAACCACCACTTTCATCTCCATTGTTCACACTTTTTTTTGTATTGCGTGCTCAAAATTCCTGTCACAGTGTGTTATTGTAGCCATATGCAGCTGCCCCAGCAGTGTATTGAGTCATTCTACATACCACTCCCTCTGAACAATCTTTCCTGCCCACTGCCTTGTGGACTTTGCTGAGGGCCCTGGGGAACAGCAGTAGTTCTCATACTTACTTTTGTTATTCTGTCAGCAAACAGTGTAGTACTTCAGACTGCTGCTGACTGCAACATTTTCCCTTTGTGATACATATGTTTTTATACTAATGTTGTGGAGTGGCTATATGTGTATGCTATGTGTGCACGTTCTGCTATAAAGAGATGTTGGATTCACATCGAGCTGTTTGAGCTGTTGACTTTTCTTTTTCCCACTCTTATATTTTTCTCAAGCTCACACCAGTTGGAACAACCATTTTCACTGGCTTCTCAGGAGGTAATGGTGCTACGGACATTGACGATGGGCCCAATGGAAATATAGAATATAGCATCCTTTACAACCCCAATGACCCGGTATATGGACAAGTCACGCCATGATAAACATGCTCTGCACTATTGCAAATTTCTTTAACAGCCATAACCATTACTGCTCATATTCACCTTTCTTTCTGCCTTAACACATTCACTCTCTGTGTTTCAGGCTTCAAACAGAACAGTGAGTTTTTTAACCACCCCTTCAGGATACATTACCCTGGCAGAGAGGTTAAACTATGAGGAGAAAACTCGCTACCTGGTTTTGGTCCAAGCCAATGTGAGTTCAAACACTTTTTAAGTTGTGGATGTTTTGAACATGAAGTCAGTAGTTTAATTTGAGTTCAAGTCCCTATATGATTTCTGTTTCAGTTTTAAGGCAGTTCCTGTTTTTCTTATTTCAATATTCAGTATTTATTGTCTGTTTTACCGGTCATCAGAGAAATGCTTAATCTGAGGTATCAAGAAATAATTTGAGATGCCTCAATTGGCAGTCAGTATAAGGACAAACAAAGTATTTATCTTACATTTAACTGATACTACTTCAACAGTACAAGAGCAGCTTTGCACAACAAAACTGATTTCATTATGGATTTTATCTGAGGGAGGGTGTTTGCCTTTCTTTCCTCTCATGGGGCAACATGAACGGGAAAATATTCTAAGACAAGTAACCCTAATGAAGCCATTAAAACAGAATGAAGGCATTTGTATACTCTTTCTCTGGTCCTTACCCTTAGCCATTAGGCAATTAATGGCTTTTGACCAAGAGCCACTTCAAAGCCACTGGCCAAGAATTTGAAAACACCCAGGCTTGGGTCTAAGATTATCCCAATCCTATATGGACAGTGCTGGATGTTTCAAAGTCTTATGAGCTGAACGTCTCTATATATAGAACATCTGTTTACAAAAAACAAGCAACAATTATCATGTTTTTTTATAATTACGCCCCAGTTACTGATTACATAATCACAAACTTGAACAAGCAGTTGTCAGATATTGCATTGTGTAGTATAAAACAGAAGACAGATAAGCATTTGGCAGTCAACCCATCTTCCTTTTTCTCAATTTCCTGCATGAAGGAGCAAAAGGCTAAACCCTTTAGCCTGACAAGAGGACCTCCAGGGAGACTTGAGTTTCTCTTGTAAGAGAACATCAGTATAGAGCAAAAATAAGACTTGGTATTTATTAGAACTCTGTGCTGCTGTATCAAGAGTTCAATTGCACTGAGAATGCAAATCTTTTAAGTGCTGGTCTGCTCACTTCTCAGGGTACTACTCTTGGAAGCAGAAGTGCCACAAGAGGGTATCTATAAGGATAACTGCTGGAAAGATGTGCTATTGCCAAGTATTATTTCCTTAAGAATAAATGGCTTAGTAAAGTGGAGTGGAGCAGTGCTGTTCTGTCTGATTGGAAGTGGTCTGACGTTGAAGATATTCATCTCTTCTATTCAAATATATGGGCAAGAGGGAGCGTTATACCTCAGTGCTACAGTAGCTGCTAAGGTTTCTGCCAAGGATGTGAATTTAAAGAAGCAAGTCAGGCAGCAAAGTTAATTGAATATCATTGTTTTAACAAATGTAAATGATATTGTAATTAAAGTCAGGTTTTCCTTTGTTTACATTAAGATAATACTGTAAATGTGTTATTTAGCTGTGATTATAGTCTCTTGTAGCCACAGCTTGTTCAAAACTGCTGCATTGCAATATTTATTTATTTTTTTGTAGAAAATATCTTGATATTGAAGCAAAAGAAAATGTGCTCCAGTATGTTTATCCTGCAGCCAAACAATAAAAAAATAAAAATAAAAACAGGAATTAATGCATGAGATTATACAATGACCATCACTATAACATATGCTCAAGAACAGCTGCAGAAATGTGTTATGGCTTTAACGTGTTGTATTGATTTTCAGCTTGAGTGGTGTGTAGCCCCAGTGCACAAAGCAACAAATCGAAGATTGAAATTAAAAGCATTTGTTTTTCTTCCAGGACCGTGCCCTGTATCCCCCCAACAGACTAACAGCTACCACGACACTGACTGTGGACGTTCTGGACGGCGACGACCTGGGCCCCATGTTCCTGCCTTGTGTTTTAGTGAACAGCACCCGTGACTGCAGCCCCCTCACCTACCGCGTTGCTATCCCTGAACTCACTGAACCGGTAAGAACCAGGAAGACAGGTGCGAACACAAGGTCATTTTAACAGAATTGCTTCTTTTAATAGTCTCTACATATTTGTATTTTTATGCACATGGGCTGTTTTTCTCATCTTCTGGGTGCATGTGCATCGTGCAGATATCTTTCAGATTTGTACATAAAGCTGACATTAAACTATGCCACGCCTTTTTAAAACCCTGCTTGTCTGCTTGCACCTTGTTTATGCCTCCAACAGAAGCATAAACAGAGTAAGAAAAGCAGAGTAAGCTTTGCTGTTCTTTCTCTCTGTGGCAATTCTAAGGGCATTTTCTGGTCTTTTGGATCAGAACTTCAAGCTGAGTTAACCTAGGATGATGGCTAACATGACACCCCCCCCACCACCACCACCCCAAAAAAGGCAGGTTAACTGAGAATAAGAGATGGATGTCTGAGTTGGTGGGAACAACACAAATTTAACTGAACTGTGTTTTAAATGTTATAACATGGTCCTCATGAGCAGTCTAGACATGACTAGAATGGATTGAACTGTGCTGAATTGGATTGGACTGCAGTGGAGTAGTCTGGATTGTATTTGATTGTA